ATTTTGAACCACATGGGGGTCTGGCACCCTTAACCCCAGCGTTTTGAAGTGTAATTTGGAAAACGGGTACAGAGGAATAACATGGGGTATATAGAGCAGCTGGTCATGAATTGAATGGGCCCCCATCACAGACTGGTGCGCACCATGAGAAGCAGAGCCACTGTTGCTGGTGGTCACCTCACACTCTTCTCTGTGCTGTTCAGTACACTGAGTCAACATGTGTGTTGGCCAGACACTCAGCAGTCAAAACACTCAGGAGCAATGTTTCCATGCAGGAAAATTGCCAGGACGCATAGAAAAGAGCAAACATATGGGAGACCTCAAGCACGGCCCATATCTTTAGCGGCAGAACGAACGGTTTCTATAAAGAAGGCTCCAGAGTTAATCCACAGTGGCATCCCCAATCCAAGGGAATTAGATAAGAGGGCATGTCAAGGATCTCTGCCTAAGATTGTACAGCCGGTTATAGTAGAGAGTTCTAAGCTGGATAGGCCAACACTCTAATGTGGTTTAAGACAGTGGTTCTTAACCTTTGTTACTCAGATGCTTTTGAACTGCAACTCCCAGAAACCCCAGTCAGCACAGCTGGTGGTGAAGGCTTCTGGGAGTTGCAGTCCAAAACTCCTGAGAAACCCAAGGTTAAGAACCAGTGGTTTAAGATGTGCATTCACTGGATGCGCACCTAGTAGTGCTGATGAGAGAGCAGGAACTAGGCTGAGGCCTGGAAGATGGGAAAGCACACAGCCGGTGGCACTCTTTCTGAAGTAGTCATCTGCCAACACACATCAAGCATCTTGTCACAGGCTTACTTGTAGCAACACCTAACCGTGACTCATTAGTGCCCTCATATCTTTTATTTCCTCTTTGGCTGTTGTCCAGGAAGCACGGAGGCAAGGATGGACCCCATCCTCAACAGCCTGCAGCCTGTCTTTGGTCTGCAGCAGCTATATGGTGCTGCTTCACTTGTGTCTCTGCAGAAGTATAACAAAAAAGGTGTGAGAGAAATGTTCTCTGTTATTGTGAGGTGTGTTTGAAGGAGATTGCTTCCTTTTCTCAATTAGACTGTGGGGAAAATACATTCTAATGTACTTCAAGAGCTCTCTCTCTCTCTCTCTCTCTCTCAAAAATAATGATTTGACCAGACTAGCATCCTCAAAAAAGGTGGTCTCAGAAAAGTAATTTTTTTCTGGTGTACTGATTGGAAAACTGCAGTTAAAAATGGAGACTCTCACATGACCAGACAAAGCATTACACACCCTTTGTAAAGAAGCTGAGTTTTGTTGAACTCAGGTTCCCAGAAAAATAAATGTTTTTTTAAATTATTTTTTCTCAAGGGCTGTCAGAGATATAATGCTATCTCTGACAGAGTCAGGATCAAAGGGACTGGCGAAGTCCATGGGAGACAAAGGCATCTATTTTAAGGCACTGGAGTGTCCGCGATGCTCTTGGAAGCAACAAAGACTGAAGGGTGAGAAACAGAGTAGTTTATTACCAGTTTCTACTATTAAAACTTCCATGAGCTACACAGGCTTGGAACATAGGACACTGCCTCAAATGGGGCCCCACTATTTCCCAGCCTAGTCCATTGGTTTGTCTCTGATGCATTTTTGGTATCACCTGGCAGGACAAAGTTCCAAATAGAGCAGTCTTAGAACAAGCTGGAATTTTTAGCATAGTGTATATACTTTACTGAAACAGCGACGTCTGCATTGGCTTGGGCACATCATCAGAATGGCTGACAGTCAGATTCCAAAAGATCTCCTGTATGGAGAATTAGTGCAGGAAAAGCATCCTAGAGGGAGACAACAGCTGCAATACAAGGATATCTGCAAGCGGGCTCTGAAGGCCTTAGGAATGGACCTCAACAGATGGGAAACCCTGATATCTGAGCGTTCAGCCTGGAGGCAGGCGGTGCATCATGGCCTCTCCCAAATTGAAGAGACCCTTGTCCAGCAGGCTGAGGCAAAGAGGCAGTCCCGAAACCAGAAAAATCAGGGAGCTGGACAGGGGACAGATTGTATTTGTCTTCAGTGTGGAAGGGATTGTCACTCTCGAATCGGCCTTCTCAGCCACACTAGACACTGTTCCAAGTCCTCTATTCAGAGCATGTTACCATAGTCTCTTGAGCCTGAAAGATGCCTAATCTAACCATTGGTACCTATTCTGCCTGGCATTGGCTCTGCAAAGCAGAGGTAGACAACAAATGGATCGAGGAATGCCAAAGCAGCCTGCTGTGACCCTCAGCCTTCCCAACCGTCTCCTGTTGTCAAAATTTTAATTAAAAAAAAACAGGTGGAAAGGTCACATTGTGGTCTCCTAAGGGCTGCTGAGGTCAATTTTGTCATTGGTTTGAGATTTCCTAGCAGACTGTTCTCCACTCTTATAAAGGTTTGGCTACCGAAGGGTTCAAGGTACTTTCAGAGAAAACTAAATTTGGAAGAAATTTGGTTAAGTAGGGTTGTGGGGGTGTATGCAGGTCTCCATGCTCTAGGGATGTGTAATCCCCCTGACCTCTGAAGGTTGCCAACCCCTAGGCTAGGTTTCTGTCAAAAGTGCTTCCCTTCACCTGTTACATAAGGCTGTCACATGGAGATAACTGGGATTATTTACATACAAAGCATGTGCTCCGCCACTAAATTGTGGCCCTCTTATTACCAGAGGCATGATCCATGCCTTATTGACTCTTCCTCTGTTGTTTATTAGTGAGGAGGAATTAAAGAACCTCTTAGTGAGGGTGAAAGAGAAGAGAGCAAAAAATGGTGTGAAGCTCAACATAAAAAAAACTACATTCATGGCCACTGGTCCCATCACCTCCTGGCAAATCGAAGCGGAAGATATGGAGGCAGTGACAGATTTTACTTTCTTGAGCTCCATGAGCACTGCACATGGTGACAGCAGCCACGAAATTAAAAGACACCTGCTTCTTGGGAGGAAAGCAATGACAAACCTTGGCAGCATCTTAAAAAGCAGAGACATCGCCTTGCTGACAAACGTCCACATAGTCAAAGCTATGGTTTTTCCTGTAGTGATGTATGGAAGTGAGAGCTGGACCATAAAGAAAGCTGGCCGTGGAAGAAGTGATGCTTTTGAATTGTGGTGCTGAAGGTGGCTCTTGAGAGTCCCCTGGACTTCAAGGAGAACAAACCTATCCATGCTAAAGGAAATCAACCCCGAATGCTCACTGGAAGGACAGCATCTTGCAGCTGAGGCTCCAATACTTTGGCCATCTCATGAGAAGACTCTCTGGAAAAGACCCTGATGTTGGGAAAGTGTGAGGGCAAGAGGAGAAGGGGACGACAGAGGAGGAGATGGTTGGACAGTGTCATCGAAGCTACCAATATGAATCTGAGCAAACTCCGGGAGGCAGTGGAAGACAGGAGGGCTTGGCGTGCTCTGGTCCATAGGGTCACAAAGAGTTGGACATGACTAAACAACTAAACAACAACAACATGTTGTTCGTTAGAAATGGAACATGGAAGTCGTCATTTCCAACACAGTCTCAAATAATTTCCTCTAAGCACTAGTATGATTAGATCCACAAGAGGGGCACTGAGAAATAAGAAGGTGGTGTCATCAGGTTTTTTAAAATGCAGTTCATGTTGTGTTGCAGTGTTGCAGGGAAAAAGCAGCACACACAGCCTTAAATTTTAGTTAATGTGGCAGACTGGAAGTCAGGCTGAGGCAGCAGTTTGCAGCAACAATGCTGTACCATCCAGTACGCATTATACCCCTACATTAGGTGGGAGGTTAGACTAATTCTTGAGAGACTGACCCTGTGGTGTTGTTCCATGCTGTTATCCCCATCTTGCTGTTGAACTGAGAGTGGCTTGGGTGGGGTCTGTTCTGAGACAAAGTCAGTGCAATATAATGTAGTAACCATTGTTACCATGGGAGATTGAACTGAAGCTGAAGCTTGTGTCCCTTGGTAAATTCCTCTTCCTTACATGACAGTCCACGTTGACAACAGCCTACCTCACTTGGCCCCTCATACCTCCTGCCAAGCCAAATCTTGTGCCTAACTGCAAGAAGAAACATTATATTCCATGGACTCCATACTCTGTTTCTTTTGTACAGGCCCAGCTTGTCCCAAATCTTCCCCAGTTAGGTTCCCTAGTGCCTAACAAATCCAATGTCCTCTTTTCTGCACCACCATCTTGTCCGTGTACTGAAGGATGTCCGCCACTTGTGGAACAATTAGCATTTCACAGAGAAGACAACTTTGGAGGCCCTGGCTTTCAACCTCCTTCTCAAGCAACGACAATCAAGCTTCTAATACATTACCACTACTTTTTATTTATATCACTAGCATCAACAACACATGCACACAACTCCTGGTTCCCCAACACTCTCTACCACACGATCGCAGTGATGTGAATATCTACAGCCTTTGCAGCAGATAGACAACTCACCACATTGTGTAAACACCAGTCACAAATCCAGCCACCTTTGTGTCTCAAAATATCTCAGCGCAAATGTACCGTGTGTGTACTTTTCACTATATTTTAAAATATCTGTGTAATACTTTAAGGATATTAATAGTTGTTATTTTTCCCCTGGGAGTTGGAATATATTTGCATAAAAGAACTGGGTGGATCTTTTATTTGCAAAGCGGAACTGAGGAACAAGGATCTAGTTTTTAGAACTGTTATATAATTGTTATAATATAACAACTGTTAAATATGTAGTTCATTGGAGAAATCTTCTGCCTGGACTGTCCTTACCTCAATGGCTAGATTACAACATTTGTTAAATAAAAGATAACGATGAAATTAAGCATGCCATTGATTTCTTCCGGAAGGCAGTTGGGACACTGAGTATTCTTCTGCCCACTTCCCGTTCTGTGGTTGTGATTTCTGAGCAAACAAGGGACATTCCACAAAACACTATGTTCTGGGCTTTCTTGAGGCATATTATGTTTAGCAAGCAGGTATGGGAGTGTGTCATTGTGAAGTTGAAATCTTTTGAAAATATAAACCAATCAGAGGTGAGATTTTGCAACTTTTCTGTATTTAAATGCCGCTCCTCTTCTCAGTAAGTGAAACTTTTTGAAAGAAACTCCTTGGTCTTGCAGGTGAGTTTGCCCTTTCCTTAAAATAAGGCAATAGGTAGAAAGAATGGCTGGCAGATAGGTAGGCTTCTGTGCGGGTATATAGTCCAAGTAAGTCTTCAACCCTCCACCCTCTCCATCTAGGAATAAAGCCCACTGGTGCAGTAGTATTTTCTGAGTGTGCATGTAAAGAATTGCAGTGTAAACCTGTCAAATGAAGTCTGATGAACCTCAATATTTAAATATGTACCTTTTGTTTATAATTTGATTTGATGAATAACTTGTTTCTAATAGATTGAACTCACTGATTACTAATTAAAATCTTAGAAGATGTGATGTACTAAGAACTCTGAATAAAGTAATTAAAATAGTTCATCTGAAACTTGTGTTCAGATTTAAATTTGGTATGTCTTCGTTTATTCTAAGGAACCTAGTTCCTTTTGTGCCACTGCTGTTTTATTTGTGGATGGTGTTGTGCAGCTAGCAGGTTTCCAACAGGAGGACAGGACAAGAGAAAGTGAGAGTGGGTAACCGAGCAATTAACAGCAAAGTCAGCCACAGAGGAGGAAGAGAGCAATAAGGGAAGTGAATTGATCCAAAGAAAGAGTATGGAAGTGGAAGAGAAATATTGGTTCTAACACGGAAACTTCAATATTTTTATTAATGACTTGGATGAAGGAGTGCAGGGAATGCTTGTCAAATTTGCAGATGATACCAAATTGGGAGGAATAGTTAATACCCTAGAAGACAGAAACAAAATTCAAAATGACCTTAATAGGATGGAGCACTGGGCCGAAAGCAACAGAAGGAAATTCAACAGGGATAAGTGCGAAGTACTGCAATTTGGAAAAAGAAACCAATTGCACAATTACAAGATGCGAGATACCTGGCTCAGCAAAGCCACGAGTGAGAAGGATCTTGAAACTGTCGTAGATCATAAGCTAAATATGAGCCAATTATGTGATGTGGTTACAAAAAAAGCAAATGCTATTTTAGGCTGCATTAATAGAAGTATAGTTTCCAAATCCTGCAAGGTGCTAGTCGCCTTCTATTCAGCACTGGTTAGGCCTCACCTCGAGTGTTGTGTCCAGCTCTGGACAACACACTTCAAGAAGGTTGCTAACAAATTAGAACAAGTTCAGAGAAGGGCAACAAGGATGATCAGGGGGCTGGAAACCAAGCCTTATGAGGAAGGGCTGAAAGAATTGGGCATATTTAGCCTTGAGAAAAGAAGACTGAGTGGTGATAAGATAGTACTATTCAAATATTTGAAAGGCTGTCATTCAGAGAGGGATGGGCAAGATCTGTTCTCGATCATCCCAGAGTGCAAGACATGCAACGATGGGCTCAAGTTAAAGGAAGCGAGATTTCAATTGAATATCAGGAAAAACATCCTACCTGTTAGAGCAGTATGACAGTGGAACCTGTTACCTTGGGAGTTGGTGAGTGCTCCAATTCTGGAGGCATTCAAGAAAACCTCAGATAATCACCTGACAGATCTGCTTTGATTGTATTCCTGCATTGAGCAGGGGGTTGGACTTGATGGCCTTGTAGGCCCCTTCCAACTTCACTTTTCTATGATTTAGAAGGACCTCCCATAATTCTTCCACCTGGTGGCATCCAGCTGAATATGGAAGTAATTTTAGTTCCTGACCTTCATCCTTTCAGGCAAGTGTCAGGTGGATAAGAGTTTTGTGTACAGACATTTTGTTATGATAGTTCACTAAATGAATAAGAAATGTTTGTCTACAGAATACCAGCCAGCATGTTGGGTGACAAATCCCATCCCATCTCCAGTGGGATTATATGTTGGGAAAGGTGTAGATTAGGGCATCTGAGAAGAAAATGCTAAAGAAAACTTTGATTTCAATGTGAAATAAACAGAATTGCCCACTTTTACATAATGTAAGACATCCTGTCATCAGCAGTCACATCATTTTCTGGAACTGTGATGAAACTAGAGAGTACTGTGCTAACCTCAGGAGACTTCCTGAAAACCAAAGGATTGCTAATAGGACATCTATGTAGACAGGATTATGAATGATCACTTCTAGTGTTAAAAATACCCACTGTCATTTTGAAAGCCTATGACCAATGCAGTTGTTACCCTTTCCCCCCATCTTATTTACCCCCCCCCCATATTTCTACTGTGTCTTCAGTGTATATAAACCAGTGGGTTAGCTGGTATTCTCTCTGCATCTGAAAGTGGATTTGTAATCTATAAAAGTTCATGCTAAAATAAACCTGTGCCATGACTTTTGTTTTTATTTTCCCTCCAGAGAAAATAATTTTGAATTTGATGAAAAGTTAAATGCTAGTTTTTTACTGTGTGATTTTTAGTTAGATATAACAATGTTTCTGTGGTTTCTGCCCGTTTTCAAGAATTCTGCATACTCTCCCTCGTTGTCCAGATTTTATCACCCTTGACATGGTAGATTAAGTAATAATTATGGCAATATTCCCTCTGCAGGAAGCTCCGAATCACCAAGATGATGAAAGCCACTATGCTCCTGCTTGTTGCTATGTTGATTCCTGCAAAGTGCACATGTAATCTTGAGTGCGCTGTTGATAATGCGATTAACCAAAAGATCCAGGCAGCAGTTGATGCTAAAGGTATTTGAATATTGAGCTGGGGGTGCTTTTGAATGCTTGAAACAGTGTCTCATCATCTTTCTGAAAATCTTTGTTTCTTTGTAGAGAGAGAATGTCTGGTTCTATCAAAAACATACTGCTTGCTTTGGCGATCTGAGAGTCCAGGGTTGTTACCGTAATTCTTATTCTGAAGTGCCATGCTCACATACTGAAGTGCCAAACCCATGTGCAGGAAAGGGGGTGGATGGGGGGGTTGCCTTTTCCTCTCCACAGATTTGAGGCTGCCTGCTGCCATATTTGTTACTGTACCATCAAAATGTGAGGGCACAGTGACAAAAAAAAGTGGTTTATTCCCTTAAAGCAAGATTGATTGATTGATTGATTGATTGATTGATTGATTGATTGATTGATTGATTGATTGATTGATTGATTGATTGATTGATTGATTATTGATTGATTGATTGATTGATTGATTGATTGATTGATTGATTGATTGATTGATTGATTGATTGATTGATTGATTGATTGATTGATTGATTGATTTTATATCCTGCCTATCTGGTCGGGTTAGGACCACTCTAGGCGGCTGGATGCACAGGAAGCATAGGCTTTGCTCTGAAACTTAATAATCCTTCTGAGAGGCTCTTGGGATTGATTTTAAGTTTCAAAAGCTGTGATATGAAAAGCCCTAATATTTCAACGAGGTGTTTGTTTATTTGTTTACTGAGACTTGTTTCGTCTTGGATCCATTTTTCCAAAGAACCCTTGCCTCAGTAGTTTCTAATGCTACTGGACATCTGATTCTGGCTACTAACCTGGACTGGGCCTCGCTGGTGTTTGGATGGGAGACCATTAGGGGATTGTACAGAGATCCTGCCTAAGACCTTGGAGAGGTGCTGCCTGTTAGAGATGATGATGCTGGACTAAGTGAACCAGTAGTCTGCCTCAGTACAAGACAGCTTCCTAGTTCCCCCTGTTTTTTCCATTAGAAGCTCTACTTTTAAGCTCTTATTTCTGGTTCTCCTGCCCTCTGCTGGATTAAAATGTCTAGTCTTCTCCCTAGACATTTTCCACTTCCCTTAATCCCCAGTTAAGAGGCCAGGCTTCTTAAAGAGTAGCTTATGTCACATAAAATTGGGGGAGATCAATCATATAGATATTAATGAGATTTTTTTCCCATTGAGTTCAATAGGGTTTACTCCCAGGTAAGTACAGGCAGGTTTCCATAGAAAAACTACAATGGAAATAACCTGGGAAGGATGTCTACTGATCCTGGATGGAGGTTACTTCGGACATGTATAGAATTAAATTGCTGATCACAAGCTGAATTGCACAGTATAATAATATACATTTTAATTATAACACTGTAAACAAGATCTAAGCATGGGGTGGGGAAGCTGGCTACAATGGCTCAAATTCAATTATTTCTGTGCTGTTTGCTAATTAAAGGTTGTGCACCTTTCGCAGTCCCATAACATGAACACAAGTAACAGAGACATTCTTTCTCCACCTGGAGATGTAAGGGAAATTTCTACCTGCTCTGCTGTTTCTACAGCCATGATGTGATGTAGTGGGAAGGAGAGTGGCAGAGTTAATGCCTGACTTTGTTTTTCAGAATTGGAGAAATCTGTTCAGTTCTTCATGGAACATTCAGGCTCACCAGACAAACAACAATTTCTGCTCACAGTCCTTCCTTAGGCACAGAACGAAATATCTGTTGTTCTTTACTCTACTGGTTCCATTCTTTATTCCACTCTTCCTTTAAGAAACTCAAGCTTTGTCCTTACAAGGTATCTGTGAGGCAAGATTAACTGAGAGAGAGGGAGTGGACTAGCATTGTGGCTGGGCAAAAGTCTGAATCTGTGTCCTTGCAATGCGAGTCTACCGACATAAAAGTAACCTGTGTAGCTGTCAGTTGCCTTCTGTGCCACCCTCAGCAACCACGTGGAAACCTCCCTCCTGATTCCCTGATATTCAGCTAAGCAGTCATCACCTGGGCTGCAAGAAACAAACTGCAAGCTACCATGTTGCTATCATCAGAATGCTAGGGACCAAGTGAATGCCGCCCTTCCTAAAACCTGACCCTGAGAATTTGAGGAGCATAGACAGGGGGTTGTTTGTGGTTTTTTGATACCACAATACCTAGAATCTCTCAGCAAGCATGAACAATGGCCACACTGGGGAGGATGTTGTGAGGCTGTAAAGCATACTGTACCTTATCTAAGTTCTAAAGATACACATGTATGTACCTGGGTATCCTTCTGACCCAACTCACCACCTGCCCTGACCATTTATGTGAATCCTGAAGGATTCTGTGTAGCCCCCTACTCCAAAATATTGCACATTCTTGCTCTAACCATTGTACCACATGGACACTGTATCAGTCTTGAGACCACACATCTTTCTTTCCCTATCCAGCTTTCTTTTCTCTGCCTGTGTCCTTTGCTCTTTCTTGCCTTCATGTGTTCTTCTCTGCCTACTCTGTAATTTTCCACTGGCTTGTACAACATCCATGTCCAACCCCATGCCAGCAAAGTCAGTTTCTCATCACACTAGGGGATGGAGAAAAGTAGGAGATGGTGGGTAAAGAAATGGAAAAGCCATGCAGCCAGGAATTAGGCCATGCAGTCCTGCAGCCAAGCTCTGTCCAGAAATGGAGATTATGGATGGCAGGGATTGCGAAGCATGAAAAGTTTCTACCAATCCACAGTGAGACAAATAATGGGTAACTGTGGTGTTTGTATGGCCTGGCTAAGCACGACCCAGAGACACATGAGTGGGCTTTCTGTTTCTGTGGATGAATGGGCTAAATGATTTCCCTCCTTTCTTGAGAATGAGAGGTACAAACTGTACCTGCTCCAAGTATGTGGGTACCAACAAGAACAAGGATCTCTGCCTGTTTGAGTGAGGATGGCAGATGGTAGCAGTCACCTCTTGTTGTCTCTTGCAGTGTCAGAAGTGCTGAGGACGGCCCAAATGATTTGCACAAATGTGTCTGCTCGTGGCGCTGATGTCTCCTGCCCCTCAGGTGAGATATTTTGCCTTGTTGGGGGAGAAAGTTTGATTGGCAGTAAATGAAGAGGAGCTGCACTGTGGACAAGAGGGGAAGAAAAGAACACATCCTGCTGGTCAGGAGTAGGAAACTGGTTTGGGGTCCTGGGCTGGATCCCTACCCTACCAATCCTGCACAGGCTGGATGATGTCAGGGTGCATGGCATGCCCTGACTCAACAGTATAAACAACACTCCCCACATCACAGATTTTCCTGGCTGCAGGATCGTGCTGACACTGCTGATGGGAATGCAACATTCTCCTACCTTTGTCAAGGGAGAAGTGGTCCAGGGGAAAAGCCAGCTCCCAGGGCCAAGCGCCACCTGCAGCAGTCTTCCTGACATTGGCACTTCACCCACTTCACCCACACTGCACTTGCCCCCTTGGGGAGGATGCCGCAGGGGTGAAGCTCTATGATAGCTAATATTTCTGGTCTCTCACCAAAGAAAACCATGGTGAATAACCATCTGCCACCCCTAATGTCTTGATTGGGAAGATGAACAGTGTGGGATCTCCAGAGAAGGGGCTATAGAGATGGATGGGAGGAGATCTGGGGTGAGATCTGCCCCAGATCAAGACAACACAGTGGCCAGATTCAGCCAGAGGGTTTGACTGGATCATGTCAGATTTGGCCAGATGTTTCCCTCCCCTGCTGGATGCAGCAGTCAGTTTTGTGTACATACACATAGATATAAAATGTGAATTAAGATATGCAGCTGCAAGGTGTTGATTTATTAGCTTAGCTTGGTAGTTAGTACAGCACTTCTGAGCGATTACGTATATCAGAACTCCATTGTGCCAGCTCTAGTCTTCTGCATAGTTCTTGCAACGATCAGCTGCCGGTCCATCTAAATTGCCCTTTCCATCCTTAGGTTATAAGCCGACTTCATGTGCTTGTGGAATGGGGTGCGGTTCCTGGGATATCCGTAGCGACACTGTCTGCCACTGCCAATGTGCCAGCATTGACTGGACCTCTGCCCGATGCTGCCGAGTGGGTCTCCAGTGATGGCTCTTCACCTGCCTGTTCCTGGCTGCTGTGCTTCAGTTTCTGTGCTCAATAAAAAAAAATGCATCAAAACATGTCTAAACAGACCAGTCTCTAACATAGCTTCCAGACTACCTAACAGATAACTAACAACCTATCCGACAAACAGACAAACTACAGCCACTTGATTTTTATATCTAACAGTTAACATTCCCAGCTTCTGTTGGTCAATGCCAGACAAATTCTTATTGGTTAGAACATTCTACAATGAAAATGTAACATTCCAGTCTTTCCCATATAAAAAAATGCATCTCTCTCTCTCTCTCTCTCTCTCTCCACATGCTGTGTTGTATTTTCATTGTATGGAAAGCTGCATTTTCCAAGAGCATATTCCTTGTGTGTCGTCTCAGCCATGCAACCTGTCCGTGAAGCAGGGACTGACACAGTGCCTATGTTTGTACACCAATGGATGGATACACAGGCAAAGAGACCATGTAGATATGTTGGCAGGCCTTCTGAGAGGCAGCAGGCGGCCTATATTCATTTTTTTTTCACTTCACCGAAAACTGCCTCCCTCCCTTACACTGCTTTTTCTGCTGCCCTCCCCTCACAATTAGGGCTTGAAAATATTTCATCATCGACTCAGTCTAGAGCAGTAGTTCCCCAACTTGGGGGCCCAGATGTTCCTAAAGCCCAAGCTAGCACAGCCGATCGCTAGGAGCTCTGGGAGTTGCGATCCAAGAACACCAAGGGCCCCAAATTTTGGAAGCAGCCCTTTAGAGAAAAGGATTTTGGGAAGGAGGCATGAATTGATGCCATTTACTTTTTGTAGGGAAAAAGACAGCAGAGAGTTTGCTTATTTAAAAAAACAGCAACAACATTCTGTTATCTTTAATACTTGTAGAGATGTTCAGCTACTTTCTCTGGCAGTGACGCAGAGACAACACAATATTGTGTCTGCTGAAGGTTGCAAAGGCGGCTTGTGAATTATCTGTAGTACGTTAGAAGAGTCTGGTTGGATCTCTCCAGAGAGCGGTTGAATAGCTGATGTGTCTGCCAAGCCGCCTGGAGTTACACTACCAATTTCCTAATAATCCAATTTGCCAGCTTGGTAATGTGTTTATTGCTGATTAGCTCTGACTCAGGCGATCCACTGTTCTCTGTGGGGGAGAGTCTACACAGTTTGACAGATTTTATTTTGGGATGCAAAGAACTTAACTGAAATGTCTGCGTGGCCCCAGAAACAGGCCTGGAGTTCATCTCTAACTCAGAGATAGGGACAGATTCACTACCTCTATCAATGTATTACGGATGAAAAATTGTAGAGTGTTTTGGCACAGAATAAAGAACTGAAAGCAGCCTCAAATACCATCTTGTTCAACCTCTGCGGATGCAGAAAAAAACCACTACTAGAGTATCCTCAATATATAGTCATGTGAAAAAGAAAGTACACCTTCTTTAAACTCTATGGTTTTATAAATGAAGACACAATAAAAATAATCTGGTCCTTAGCAGGTCTGAAATTTAAGTAAATACAACTTCAGATGAACAACAACACATGACATATTACACAAGCCAAAATGGAGAAGCTATGTGTGAAAAAACTAAGTAGTAGCCAGGTGCAGCTAACCAAATGCCTTTGAGTAATTGATCATCAGCATGTGTGACCACCTCTATAAAAACTGAAGTGTTAGCAGTGTGCTGATCTGGAGCATTCAGGGATATGTTAACACAATGGCAAGGAGGAAACACATCAGCAATGATCACGAAGAAGCAATTGTTGCTGCCCATCAATTTGGGAAGGGTTATAAGGCAATTTTCAAACAATTTGAAGTCCATCATTCTACAGTGAAGAAGATTATTCAAAAATGGAAAACATTCAAGACAATTGCCAATCGTCCCAGGAGTGGACGTCCAAGCAAATTCACCCCAAGGTCAGACCATGCAATGCTCAGGGAAACCGCAAAAAACCCAAGAGTTACATCTCAGATTCTACAGCCTCTCCTAGCATGTTACATGTTAAAGTTCATGACAGCATAATTAGAAAAACACCAAACAAGTATGGTTAGTTTGGAAGGGTTGCCAGGAGAAAGCCTCCTCTCACTAAAATGAACATGGCAGCACAGCTTAGGTTTGCCAAGTTGTGTCTGGACAAACCATAAGACTTCTGGAACAATCCTTTGGACAGACGAGACCAAAGTGGAGGTGTATGGCCATAATACACAGCATCATGTTTGACAAAAACCAAATCAGAACAAACACCTCATACCAACTGTCAAGTATGGTGGTGGAGGGGTGATGATTCGGGCTTATTTGGCAACCACAGGACATGGGCATCTTGCAGTCACTGAGTCAATCATGAACTCCTCTGTATACCAAAGTATTCTAGAATCAAATGTGAGGCCATCTGTCCCACAGTTAAAGCTTGGCTGAAACTGGGTCATGCAACAGAACAATAATCCCAAGGACACCAGCAAATCTACAATAGAATGGCTGAAAAAAAAAATAAAAGAATCAAGGTGTTGAAATGGCCCAGTCAAAGTCCAGATTTCAACCTGATTGGAATGCTGTGGTGGGACCTTAAGAGAGCTGTGCATAAAGAAATCCCCACAAATCTCAAAGAACTGAAGCAATGTTGTAAAGACGAGTGGACCAAAATGTACAAAGATGTACTTTTTCACATGCGGCGTCTCCCGTTTGGCTTTATTTTTGTAAAATAAATCATGGCATGGTGTAATATATCATGTGTTGTTCATCTGAAGATGCATTTATTTAATTTTCAGACCTGGTAAAGATCAGATGATTTTTATTATGTCCTGATACATAAAACCACAGAATTTGAAGAGGGTGCACTTTCTTTTTCGGATGACTGTATGATTATCCTCTCTGAAAAAGAGATAACCTGGCACTTTCTAACCTATCTGTTCCTTTGTCAGATAGCTTGCACTGTCAGGACATTCTTTATAATACATAGTTTCAATCCCAAGTTTCCTTGCAATAGATAACACAAAATTAATCTGATCTATCATCAAAATTACAGTCCTTCAAATATCATCTCTTAATGGCCTCCTTCCCATGCTGTAGATAACAGAAAATTAATCTGATGTATCATCAAAATAACAGTCCTTCAAATATTTTTTGAAGATGACCTCATCATCTCTTAATGGCCTCCTTCCCATGCTAGACAAATCCTTCTCTTTCAAGCCTTTCTTGCAGGACCTAGTGTCAGACTGCAACTTCGTGGCAAAAGCTTATTTCCTCCTCTTACAATAGAATCCCTCCAGACCACACAGTCGGAGACATCAAACATGCAATCCAAGCCGTGCTGTCTCCAGCTCAACCAGTTATAAAGCTAAAACAAATTAATTTGCCAAAATGTTTGTAGAGGCAAGCAGAGACATCAAACATGCAATCCAGGCCCTGCTGTCTCCAGCTCAACCAATTATAAAGCTAAAACAAATTGTGTGTGTGTGTTTAGTCGTTTAGCTCCTGTTAGAATAAAAGACTTGTCTTTTGAAGGAAACACTATTTCTGTCTCTACATTTGGAATCAGAATTTCATCTCATAAGGCCCTTGGTCTCCCATTTTCCTTGTTGTTCTCTTCTGGACATATTCTAGAATGCTGAAGTGTCTACACAACCAGCTAGCATCATGCTGTCCTCCATGTGCAGGTGCTTAATCTAAGCAAGGTCAGCCTTGGTTAGACCTTGGATGATAGGAGGCCATTTAGAAACACCAGGGGCCTCAAGGCAAGGCTTGCCTGAAACCCTAGAGAGGCACTGCCAGTTAGAGATGACAACACTATATAATGGTCTGATCCAATTATATAATATACGTAGCTTCCCATATTCCCAGTTGTAAACACCTTGCCACTCATCTCCCAAACAGCTTGGTTGAGGAATTGTGGATATTTCATACTATCATTCTCTTTGTGATGGAACATATTCACACCATGGTTCTGTTTATAATGGATGGTGCCATTCCATGTCTGGAACAAATCAGCTTCCAATTAACAGCGAATTAATGGACTCTGCACCAATCCAATCAGCTAGACATATGGTGGGATGCAGAAGTTGCTGCTTCTGCCTGCGTCAAAACATGAATATAATTTGCTCATAGGCAAATCTATGCATTCAGATAATTTGCAGACTACAGAGTTTCCAATACACATACATTCAACTGGTAGGTGTAAGATTGCTTATGTCAGGGACGGGAATTATATGGAGCTGCTGAGCTGCAGCTCCTATGGGCCTTCGCTGTTGCCTGTGTTGGTCAGAGCTGGTGGGAGTTGCAGTCCATATCATGCAACTTTCACATGTGAGAGTATAAACCTCCACATTTTTATTTTTTATTTGCCTTTATTGAAAGAACGTGGAGAAAACAACAACAAAGTAATAGTACAGATCGTTCGCCACAAATGCATAATCTGATATAGTACTGTTCATAAAGTCAAAATAAAAATTAAGTAAACATTCACACCATTGATATCTATGTCAAATTAGAATATTAGATCAAAGAGTGACATGAGAAGCTGGTGGAAAATAAACCTTGTAATTCTTGTTAACATAAGAAGCAAAAGGAAACCATGCGTTCAAAAACTCATCTCAGGAGTAGGGTTGCTTAAGTAATCAGAACTGGTGAGTTAATTTTTCCATCAGGGCTATGTGCCATATTCTACGTCTTGGTGCATGTAACGTTAAATTACAAGTTTCCTTCCAGTTTGCAGCAATTTCCAAGTGTGCTGCTGTACAGAAAAAAGACAATTAATTGTATTTGAATGAGCTGTCCATTATTCCCTGCCCCCAAATTAGGACAGGAGAGCTAGATCTGGTGATCTGATCATTTTTTCCCCTCATGATTAATTCTATTTATGTAGCAACCCTGGACTAGAACAGCTGGTTTGGAGGTAATGACCACTAAATATGAAAGCACATATTGATATTTCTACACTTCCTCCAACAAGACTGACTTCTTTATCAATATAGCTTAAACAGAGTGATGTAAAATATCACCTGTCCAGAAGCTTAACTAAATACTCTTTAAACTTTTTACCTTTTAAACTTCAGAACTGGAAAGGACCCTATGAATCGTTC